AGCCCCCCACCCCATTGTGTCCCCCCCAGTCTACCCACATACACACACACACCCCCCACATGCCCCCAGGCACGGGGAGACATGCGTTTCCAGGGGGGTCCTCACCCATCAGCACCCCAACTTCACACAGCCCCCTGTGGTACTCACCAGGTGGCACATAGGGCCCGGCGCTGTCCGTGGGCATGTGGGGGGGCACAAAGCCCGGCTGTGAGGGTGGCTCGTATGGGGGAGGCCCAAATTCAGGAGGGGGGATGGGAACCCCCTGGGGCTGTCCCACGACAGGGGCGACACCATCTGAAAGGAAACAGAGTCAGCAGCGGGGGCAGGAGGCGGCAGAGCTGATGGGGAGGTGGTGGCTTGGCCAAGGGGTCTGCAGGGGGCGGTTGGCACCAGGCAGGGAAGGGAGACATGACATTGGGGGGTGGGGGGTGTCCCCCAAGCCTCATCCTCTGGGCCACAAGAAGCCCAGGTTCACTGTGCGTTACCCACGGTGGTGAGCAGAGCCAGGCCTTGAGCAGGGAGCGCTTCCTCCTGCCTCCCCAGAGGGCAAGAGGGTGACAGAGCCAGCCGGGCACCGCACCACCCTCCCCAGCACCAGCACTGCTGGGAGAGGCCGTGGCCAGGGTGCTCCCAGGGAAACCATGCTCGCTTGGCTCCTGCCTGCTCAGCAAGGTCACCCTGACCCCCCCAGAGCAGCTGGGATCCCCCCCAGCCCCTGTGGCGGGGGGCGGGCCGTGCTTCTCTTCTATCAGTGGTGCTGAGGGGCCTCCCGGGTAGGGTGGTGGAGGGTCGTTGGACATGGCTCAGGGCAGACCTGCAAAGACAGAAGCCTTTAGAAGAGACGCCAGCCTTTGGCTGCACACAGGCACCCGCCCGGAGCTGCGCGGTGCTTGGGGAAGGAGGTGGCGGGGGTAACCGAGGCGTCCGGTGCCACCGCTGCACTGGCCTGAGCAGAAACACGGCCATGGCCCCAAAGCTGGAGCAGCTTCAAACCCAGGCAGCAAACCCAAGGTGTAGCATCGTCCGGCCGGCCCCGCAGGGCTCGCTTGTCCCTGTAAAGCAGCTCATCGGCGCGGCTCTCGGCTGCATGGCCCGCGTGCTGGGGCGGTACTGGGCTGGAAGCTGCTCTGCCAGGCGCCTCGGCTGCAGCGTTACAGGACCAAAGGTGGGGAAGAGCTGCCCCCATTGCCCACAGCCCCCCCAACTCCACCCAGCAGAGGGCCAGGCACCACTGCGCCCCGAGGGGACGGCAGGACCCCCTGAGCCTGAAGCACAAGCTCTGAGGTGGAGGGCGCACACCCACAGAGAGCATCTCTGAATACTCTCATCGAGTGAGTGGAGGTGACACCATCTCTAACAGCCGCAGACATTGCTACCTGGGGTAAAATTTACCTGTCCTCTTCCGTGCAGTGAGGAGCTCAGAGGCCTCGACAGAGCTGAGAAAAATGAGTCTTCTGAGCAGTGTGGTTTGGAAGCCGCTTTACCCTACCGAACCTGTGCGACAGGAGACAGCAAGAGAGTTACAGCGATGGAGAGGAGCCACTGCTACAGCACCGCCTCGGCCGCCACCCCAGCGCAGGCGTGGGGAGAGCAGGCCTGGGCAGGAAACTCCCCCCCCGTGTGCCTGCCCCCTCGCCGGCAGGCACGAGGCTACGTGTCCTCAGCACGTGGAAAAGCCCCACCGACGCGCTCTGAACTCCAAGGAAGTGCAACAACATCAAGAAACGCGATTTCCCTGTTTACTCTGGCTCAGTTCTATCTGGTGGGACATGACTAAATTGGGAAATACAAACGAGAGGCTGCTTGGGAAGGCTGCCATCAGGCAGGGGACACTGTGACATTGCTGTCAGTGCCTGGGAAGCAGCACTAGAAAGTCCCCTTGGGATCTGAGCAGCTAGCGGAACCCCTCATCCTTTGTCCCCCACGGGCCAGGAGCAAATGTCACCCTGCTTGTCCTGTTCCTCTTGGTCTCCTGCTCTCCTCAAGGCAGGTCAGCATGCTGTGAGGACGGTGCTTTCTCAGCCGGTCACACTCCAGCAGCTCCCGACTGAGCAGGAAAAAAACACACCCAGGCCACAACCAGCCTGCAAAAATCCCATGGGTACAACCAGGGCGGCTCTGGGCGCCAAGAGATGGCCACAGCAGGCGCCGTGGCCACATTACCCCTCCAGGAACAACTGGCAAGGCTGCCCTGCAGCCCTGGTGAGGCACAAACGGCCTGCTCAGCCCCAGACAGCTCAGGGCCAAGGGGTGCTGGAGTGGGGCTGAGCTGGGCAGCACCCCACTGGGGTCACGGCTTAGGGAGGAGAGGCAGTGAGGCTCCCTCCAGCCCTGGCGCCGATGCCACACGCTGGGCAACCCACCTGGGGCACGCCAACCTCCACGGCACCTCCGAGCAGCTTCCTGCAATGTGGCAGGAAATCTGACCAGGTCACAAGTCCGCAGAGGAACACCGCCACTGCGACTGATCGCGGAGCAGCATGCTGACCCCCCCAGGAGACGAGTGAAGCCTGGACCAGCATAGTGTCTCCCCAGGATGTCTGTATTTACTAATATTTCTCCCCAGAGGTCTTAAGTGGTATGTTACAGACACACAGCTTCAAAGTGTAATACAAAGGTGGCTGGGGGTCATCTTCCTCCCGCTTTTCTCTCCAGTTTCTTCCTTAAGAGCCAGGGAGAGGAGAGCCAGCCCGTGCAGAGCTGCCGTGGCACAGAGAGCTTCCAGGTGGAGGAAAGCACCCAAAGTGCAGCGCACTGCAGAGCCCTTCTTCTCCTTCAGTGACCTACAAAGCTACAAACTGGGCCACGTTCTTTTTAGCGTCACCGGGGATGTAAAGAAAAGGAGGGCTTAGGCTTCTGAAAGTAGACAACCAACCCACCCCGCACACCCAGGAGCCTCAGACCTTCCTGTCCCCACGGCTGCAGGGCTCCTGGATGAGCCCAGCCCAACCAGGGCATCCCCAAGTCCTCACCCGGGGATGCCAGCCTGCCGGGGAGCTTTCCTTGCCCTCGCAGGCCAGCTGAGCCCACGGCTTTTCCAGCGTAACAGATCTCCTCCCATTACCGCTCAGATGCTGCCTTCCCATAACGTAACACCTTTCAACACTGTCCAGCCTTACTCTCCTCCCATCATCAAAGCAGCTGGCGAGAACACTCAGGAGATGAGGAGACCCAGAGGCAATCCCACCCACGTGCTCCACCAGCCGCTCTAGAAGCTAGAAACACCCATCAGGTGAAGGAACAGCCCCAGACTGAGCCAGCAATTAATCTGCCCCCCCCAGCAGCAGGAAAAGGCAGCCACGAGGGTGACAGCCAGTGGATCCAAGAGCCACGCGTGCGCGGGGATGAAGGAAGCTGCCGGGGCTGCAGAGCTGTTCTGCTCATACTTGGCAGACTCAGTCACTCTTAATGCAATATTCTGCTTATTAAGAGTGATCTGTAAAGAGCAAGATGTTGGCTGTGTGCCCTTCCCAGGAGGAAAAGAAAGCCTGTTGCTTTTAAGCCTCTTAGAAGCTGTTTCTCCTGTGCTTTGTTTTATCTTAATGTGAGAAGCAAAAAACGTGCCCCAGCCCATTTCCACCAGAGAGCTCCGTGGGGAGCTGCAGGGCACAAGGCTTCCCCTCCGCGCTGGGTCAGGAGCTACCCCAGAACATCGCTCGCCACCCTGGCATGGATGACCCTGCAGTATTCCCTCTCAAAAGCAACGTGGCCAAAGCAAAGCAACCTAGATCCTCCCCCTGGTACGGCGGTGTGGAGAGGCAACCTTGCTCTCAGGAGCTAGCCAGCAGCACCCCTGCAAAGAGGCAAAGTTTCCCCGAGCAGCACCCACCCAGCACAGGAGAGCACGTGCCCCACCAGGGGCCATTCTGGGCTGAAGCAGGTCGATAGTATCTGGGCACAGGCAGGTGAGCTGGGAAGATCCAGACGCTGAACAAAAACACACCAGTATTTTGCATCAAACCCACAGCAGTATTTTGCATCAAAACACAACCCCCAGAAGCACAGAACAAGGACTCGTGCTGCTGGTTCTTTTTGGGTTTCATAGAATCATAAAGGCTGGAAAAGATGTCCAAGATCATCAAGTCCAACTGTCAACCCAACACCCCCATGCCCACTAAACCAGGTCCCAAAGTGCCACGTCTACACATTTTTTTTTTAACACCTCCAGGGATGGTGACTCCACCACTTCCCTGGGCAGCCCGTTCCAGTGCCTGAC